GCGAGGTATTTGTTGTTTGGCCGACCGCTACGCTTGTTTTGAAGTGTGATTCATGTTCGTGTTTGGTGTTTTTCACGAGAACTGTGATTGTAATCTAGGATAACATGAATTCCAGAGCTGTCTTTATTCGTATTTGAAACAATAAGAGCATCTTAACAGCCTTTTTTACGTCGATAAAGAATTTTCAAAGCGATAACAATGAATTACACACTTTGCCGTCCGTGTTGAAGTCGTAATGCACACTTTGAAGTTTGTATAAAATCACTTAAACAGCATGGATGACTGCGCTACTCAGTTTGACATTGAAAAGCCAGTTAAGCGACAGTTCAAGTCACAAAAATTAACCGAAAACAAGGGCAGTTTTGACTCTAATTCTCGCCTACAGTGACTAAAAAGCACTATTTCCTTGTCTTTTTTTCCTACAAAATTCTAGATTTCAAGAAGCGAATGACTGTTGGTACACAATTTTAGTCCTACTTCTGTCATTTAAGCGTTTTATTTTTCACATTTTCCATAAAGATCTCATGCTACGGCTTTCTCTTTGGACACTGATTCAGAACACGTCTTTTAACCGGATTTTTGCACGCAATGAATTCTGGGAAAAATCTACACACGCCGTGAGCAACGATTCCGTCCAATCTGAAATAGAAATTTATATAAAGTCTACAGCCTTCTCGGAAATCTGCCAAAATTTCAAGTCGCTTTTGTTCCTCAATAGCCAAAACATCCAAAAATTACCGTGGCAGCTCCAAGGATTTGCCTTTAGACGGTCTTTTAAGTGATTCTCTTCAAGCGACTGTCCGAGTTAATCGAATGAACCGCGGAATCAAAATCGCTTAAAAAGTCACACACCAAGCTGGATTCTTTCAGCAAGTAAGCTCCTTCGCTACCTACAAACTTAATGATGTCCGTAGAGTAGTGACTAAAGGCAAAAAGGCTGAGAAAACCGCGAAAAAACTCATTTCTCGACTTCTTGCAGCACAGCTTCGAACCAAAACAAACCGGCAAACCAACTGTCAAAGTCATGAGTTTAGCGCGAATATGCAAATCTAGGATATTTTACGGTCTAGCGATCAGTTGTCAAGCCAAAGAAGTCGGTAACTATGGGTCCTTTTTTGCTCTTTTTGGAAAGAAATCAGGAGAAATAAGTACTAAATAAGGTTATTTAGACTTAAAATAAGCGATTGGAATGATGTTTTTTTAATTTTTCGAAAATTTCGAAAATACCCTAAATCGTCACTTAAGTCGGTTTCGCATCCGCCCCTTCAATTATGATATTTTATATGAGCTTATATTGTCGGAATTTTTCAGTGTCCACAAAACTGTTATGTGTTTCACAGATTTTTCTTGTGCATAGGTTTATTATTGTGTTTCACAAAACTTTGTTGTGTTGTACGAAACAAAATTTAGTCTCGCGAAACTTTGTTGTGTTGTACGAAACATTATTTTGCTTCACAACACTTGGTTGTGTTGCAATAAACTGTATTGTGTGCAGTGAAACTTTATTTTGTGTTAYAAAACTTTCTTTTGCATTATGAAATCTTATTTGTGTTAATGGAACTTTTCTTTTGTCTTTACTCATAAATTGAGTTTTGCCCTTRTGGGCCACCGTASGGATCGTTTCCTCGTCATGATCACTGGAATCAGTTTCGTCGAGTGTTGGACGTACATCGAATTCGCACAAACAACTTGAAGGATTTCTAAAACAGTTACAAGTTAGTGTACATTCTAGATGAATGGGGGGGAGTTTATTGTCTATCACACTGGCACTGACTCTGACTGGCGGTACATGTTCTGCTGATGGTGCTGGAATAATTTCAAACTTCCAAATCAATGTTCCTAACATGACCATCCCTTCCCTTCCATCTTCCTTATCGTAGAACTGAAATTTCATAAARTAATGACACTTTTTAGATATATTGTGGTCCAATTTGCTGAACTCATCTTTGTGCCATATTTAATGAAGGTTTTTCAAGCCATTTAGAAAGATGATATATATTTCAAGAGTGTCTGTTTTTGTCTGAAATAGGTGTAGATATAACAATAGAATGTGCACATAGGTAATACAGCCTTTTGCAAAAATTATGAGAATTGTTGAAATATCTAAATATCATAATATCGTGTGCATGATGGGTAATCCCGCGCGATGCCCTTAGTCCCTTGTCTTTGTAGTTTAGTTTTTTTTTGGCGACAGACTTATCCGTAGTTCTGAACATTTTCTCGATGTCAACAATGAATTATTCTAGCAAAGCCGCATGTTCCGGACAATATATGGATATGGATATTATGATWTTTAGATATTTAGACAATTCTCATAATTTTTGCAAAAGGCTGTATAAGTACATATACAGCAATATGCAGATATTATGATCTTTTTGCACGTATTTCAAGTATATCTAAAATAAATCAGAAATTATGGGATATCATCGTCTATATTTTTTCACAAAGTACTAGTGCTAGGCAACTTCAAAAAAATATAGGCGATGATATCCCATAATTTCTGATATTTTTTCTATATACTTCAAATATGAGGGAAAAGATCATAATTTCTGCATATTGCTGTATTAGGCTGACGATGGTTCTGTCATTAATAAAACCGAACTATAGCTTATTCGATCTACTGTTCAAGAATAATATTCATATTTAATTTATATGTAACTTACTCATTATACAACTTCAAAGTTTAGTAAAAATTTAACTTTTTGGAAAATGAATTAAATCAGAACTAAAACAATCCTGCAGTCTTTTATCCCACTTATTGAGATATATGTGTGTTTATTGTGTGTTTATATCTAAAATTCATTGAATAGATAAAAAAAACAACAGCTAAATATGGTCTAGGGACATTCAAAACACTAAGAAATATTTCATGCAGGCTATACAAAACACACCGAAATACGAGCGTCAAAGTACACATTAGTAAGTTATATGTTTGAACATTTTTTTGAACGATTTTCACTTCATGTCTAAAGGAAAAACTTGTGTCATGTAAGCTTATTAAAATGAGCTTTACTATAGTCTTTCAAAAAGAGAAGAATATCCTTCAGTTTTGACATGTTTCGGCGATCAATCGCCTTCTGCTTTTAATTTACTATCATGATGAGTTTCTGACTATACAAATTGCGCATTTGGTTTCTTGACATGCAGCAATGAAACTGAAACCACTGCCCCATAAATACAATAAAACAGACAACTAATGAACAAAGTAAGAACTGTTTAATTATAAAACAATTTCTTGAAACTACAAAAAAAGCAACTTCGGTTTAGCAAAAAGACCGGACTAAAAGCTCATTTAAGTAATTTCAAACAATTAAAACAAGTTTTTACTAACCTCTAAATCTGAAGATTGGACTCCTTAAGTTATGAAAGATTTTTTCAATCTTTTCACCRTCAACAGAGACAGGAATYAACGCAACACGCCTCTCCGACATTTTATCAACAAAACTGACATGAACTTGGCGACACACAAGGTCTACAAAGCCAATTCCATTTAGAGATACTTTAAAATCTTCCTTGCTAACACAATGAATGTACAAAAGGGCAGAATCTTTAAGCGTTTCAGCTTTACAGTCGACGACGTCGACAAACGAGTGAAAGCTTACCGCCATTGATCTTCACTCGGCTAAGACCAAAAACAAGTGATGACGTCACATAAAAAACGATAATATAGTCTGAAACGCAATGCATTGTGGGGTACTACTTGGGCCTCCTCTGGATTGGCGGAATCATTCAYGGACCCAAATGCCTGTTATCATTGATGAGATTTATTAATTTTGATTTATGGAATCAAGTTTTATATTATAATATCAGCTATACAAATGACTATATTTTGACAAGTGCAAGCAAATTATTTTTGATGAAATGTATGACTTTTGATTTCTTTAATATCAATAAAAACTTTCAAAATCTGTCTTTCATGTTTGTTGGGTATTGTCAAAGCACAATTCCCACAGCGCGTTATAATAAAGTATGTGCAAGCCATTGCAACAATATCCTTTCCTTATGAAAAAGTTTCTTCATAAACAATTGTCTTTTTTCAAGGTTATCTCAGCATTTCACTTTTGATAAAAATCGCTAGTAAGCTTATATGTTAGTCTTATTTTGAGTAACAGAATTGAACTTGAAACAAGTAAAATTTAAATTGTCTTGTTCTGAGGATGTCGAATGCTTAATTGGAGCATTTTATTTTACTTACCCCATGACATGTTTCTGAGTAAAAATGCTACTCAAAATAAGCAAATTTAACAGTGAATTTATAGCAACCGTACTATCGAGAATTGAAAAATCAAGCCAAGACCGGCCAGGATAACAAGCAAAACCACTAGAAGAAACACTTCATAAAATATATATTTGGCGTTCCCCGATATTATTTAATATTTTAGGACGTATCTGTGATATTTCTATGCGGCGGTATTGTGGAATTTCAGGAGATTTTTAGTGAGATTCTCGGGATTCAGAAATTAACCATGATGGAAAGCTTTTAAAACGACCATCTAAACGATTTTTTATGCCAACATAACACAAAATCACATGAACACATTCTTTGTTTTGTAGATAAGATTACGTACCTCTTTTTAGAACTTGAGCTTGTACAACTGTGGGTCTTTTAAACCACAGTGAACTGCAACCATAGACAAGTCCATAGAGTCCATTCSATCAACATGTCGACCACAAAGTAGCGTACCACACCACATTCACCACAGGCCACCCAAGCTAAGCATTTTTCGTACCCAGGGCTACTCTGCCCGCTTTTTTCAGAATGCAGAATGCGGACACCTACGTAGTACGCAGTAAAAAAAAAATCGATTTTTTTGGAGGGGTGAGAAACGGATGTACACAGACTAATGTTTTGTTGTCGTTATTTTTTTGCTGTTATTGATTGTTATTGTCTATTTTTTCTGTATTAAGGGTGTACTGACGTATCCGTTTCTAGACGACCTGGTTCCTATGCGAAAAGGATCCTGGGTTAAAATTCAAAAATGGTTTCATTTGCCACTGACCTTTGAGGGCGGGTAATCTTCGAGTTACGCGCTTCGAGTTACGCGCTTTTCGAGTTACGCGCTCRACCCATAGGCTACCCACAGAGGGCTACCCAACCCTTGCTTGAGAGAAAGAGAACAATGAATGCGCTTTTATACTAGTATCGGCGCGCGCTCTTAGTGAAAATACCTCGGGGGATTCAAACAAAAAAAATACCTCGTGGCTCGCGGGATTCAAACAAGTCTGTGACAAGGTATGAAGCACTGGTCACGTGATGGACCGATGTGCGCCCCAGGAAATCTCSAGCACAGAGTCTTCTTCTAATGTCAGCGRTATGCTGACATCCGCTGGATGGCAAAAAGTGTGGGCTCTGGGTACGAGATTGGGCCCCAGGTAGCTTGTCTATCCCTCCCCAATCTCGTACCCAGAGCCCGCACTTTTGCCATCCAGCGGATGTCAATGCGTGAGAGACTCTKGGGGAATGCGTTATTTCTCGATTTCTGATTGGTTGAAAATGACGCGAGCGCGCATTGTTTTCAAGTCGGTTTTTCAAGTCGCCAGCGCGCGCTCGCCTTGTTAGTSAAGAAAATCATACTTTAATCGCATAAACACACATGTTTTGACACATTTGTGTTTTTAAAAAGGTGTCGATGCCGTTCCTAAACTAAGTTGTGTGCTAAACCTTCTTCTTTTTTATCATTTTAATGCTCTAAAAGCAGAAAACAAAATTGACCTCATTTGCATAATTTGCGACGGAAAAGCGTCGCAAATCC